TTCCTCAAATACCATTACCCTTAGAAGCAATGTTCTAAATTTAGACGATTGCAACAAGTGGGTAATGGAATTTGGGGAACTTACCAATACGAAATGGAATTCTAGAACTTCCAAATTTCATGGACAAAGATTTGTTTGTAGGTAAATAACTAGTTCAGTTATTTTAAGAAAAAGTTTGTATTTAATTTTTATGGGAAATGCTTTTTTCGTTAAATTTATGATTATTACATGCATGAATTCTTATGAAGCTAATATCCCTCTAATTTATTGAATAACATTGAAATCGAATTTAATTGCCTTGCTTAATTCTTATACTCACTATAAAATGAAAACTGAATAGTTTTCACTTGATATTTATTTAATTAAATTAATGTTCATCGAATTAAATTAATATTTTATTTATTTCTTGTGGATAACTAAAATTAAATTATAAAATTTTTTAATTTAATACTCGTTAGTGGCGCCACCTATTATAATAAGTTAAAACTAAGAGATCTGTATTATGCCTACCTATTTATAACTTATTTTTAATGTTTTTCTTCTAGATTTGTGAAATGTTTTATAATACCGAAAAACTAATAATTGATATCTAAGAAATCAAGCAATTGTCTTTTAAGATGCTTATTTTATTAATTTTGGATTGCATAATTCCCATCAAGATAAAAGTTAATGATTATGAATTGTCCATTAAATTAGTACCATGAGTAATTAAAGAATAAATTTACAAAAAATTCCCTCTTTTAATTCTAGTACATTTCTATTGGATTGTAATTATTTTTTTATTATTTAATTGCAGGAAATTATTTGTTTGTCACCACAGTGCGTTTATGAAAGTGCCGCAGGAGAAATGTAAAAGATGTTTTTGAAAAATTCTACAATTTTTTTGCTGAATTATAATTAATTTTTTTTAACATTTTAGAGTATTTTCCTCTAAGATACGATGAAATCCTTTTCAAATAATCAACCATAATTTTAAAAATTTATTTATATACATCTTAAAATTTCATATAATAAATTCAAATTTAACTGGGTGGTTCTGCAATTATACTTAATAAATTTATGTAAGAGATTTTAATTTCTAAGTGCATAAGGATATACACAATGCTATTCAATTTGAATATTAATCAATTCTTATATATATATATATATATATTACATAAAAGCTGGCTAAAAACTTTAATTTATGTTTAATAATTATTATTATACTAATTTGATGTTTCATCAAAACATGATTGTTTACCTTGCATTTACCTAAAATTAATAACAAATTATTAGCATAAAATTTAAAGCAAATTAGATTTAAATAAATGTGTTATTAATAAAATAAAATTAATAAGGCTGTTTAATTTTTGGAACGAAACTTTAACAGTTGTCATAAAATTAGTATGAGAAATATACTGGAACTGATTTATGATTGATTTACATTTTGGGAACAAACTACGGAGAAATGTTATTGGGGAGGAGCTACAAAAAGACGCAACTGAAAGCAATGCCGAGAAAGCCAATCAGCGCTCTCAAAATCTCTTGGGGATACTATGTGTGTAAAGAGAGTTTACATGCGACCCGGGTTCGAATAGCAGTGATTGGCCCATTTAATATGGCCGATTCGAATTCCGCACCCGGCTCTCACCGACTACTGTGCTGATGTAAAATATCCTCACTGGTAGACGGATCATGGGTTGGAGTCCTCTTGCCGTCAGGATAACCGAGGGAGATTTTCGTGCTTTTGCTCTCCATGTAACGCAAATGCGGGTTAGTTCTATTAAAAAGTCTTCCACGAAGGCAAATTTCTCCCAATACTTGATCCAGGAGTTCCCCTGTCATCTGGATTGTATTCAAAATTACAAGGCTACGGAGTTGAACATTGGTTAACCCAAAATTGGGCCTGCTGTTCAAAGACGGTTATAAAGTAAAACAGTCGACCAGACTGTTAGTGGTTAGGGAGCTGACTCACATCGATCCTGGGTTCGAATCCCGGTAAGAATTATCTTTCATTCTCTGTGCTGGCTGTCCTTAATGTGGGAGCAACGTTGGCCCATCTAATATGGTGCCCTTGAAAGAGTGACCTACAAATCAGCCCTGCAGATACCTGAATGCATTTGAAAATTTTCTGTTGAGAAATTTTCAAACCAAGGTAGTTTCTTTTGTTTTTTTTAAAACTTAAAACGGTTATTAACAAATTCAACTTTTCGAAAATGTATAATTATTCCACTTACGAGTAATCATATGTTTTTTTAATGAAGATTTGCAGTTGAAAGTTCTGTGAAATAAAAGTAAATCAAATGTCAGAAAGAAAGCTAGTGTTCAACTAAACGATTTGTTTATTGATTTGGTTAATAGTGCATATACGCGCCATTTTATTTCTTACATAAATTATTATTTTTCATATATTCTTATTGTGTCTTAATGAAAGTAAGTTAAGAATATTTCAATAAAAATAAAGCTCATTTCATAAAATTTCTACGCTTGGCCTAAAATGAGTTTAAAAATGAAATTTTTTAAAGACATTTATTTATTTAACTCAAATTTAGTCACATCATAGTTAAATAGTTTGAAGAGTATGACCAAAAATATAATCATTTGATTAAGATCAAACATATTTAGTTCTCAAATAAGGACTCAATCTTTTTCTCACGAATGTCTCTCTTTAGACCCAGAATATTTTGTATTCCAAAAATATATGATTTCTTTTCTACATAAAAGAATTGAAATTTGTGAAATATGTTTTCTTTAGATTGATTTATGTGCTTAAAAAAAAGTGAGCGAATCAAGAGGGGAAAAGAAAGCAGACATTTAAAAATAAATTCAAATTTATGAAAAACATGCGTGTTTTTCGTGGGATTTGTTTTTAATAACTATCGCATATGGAGAAGATTTCGCTTTTCTTTTTCATGAAATATAAGACTATTTTTCAAATGAGAACTGTCAGATACTCGAGAAAAAAAATTGTATCAGCTATTGAAATACGGAGGAGAGAGAATCATCTTTCATTGTATTGCAGCTTTGAAGAAATGGTAATTTTTTTCAAAGTAAAACGTTCTTTGTTTATCTAGTATAGGTGAACAGGATGTTTTCAAAACACTTATTTTTATGAAAAATCTATTCATTAGGTTGTATACAGTAATGATTACAAATATAGGTCTTAACTCAATCTGTTAAATTTTCAATCTAATCAGAAATTTTACAAGAGAGACTTGAGGTTCCAAGTCAAACTTTTTGATGTTTTTCCATATAATCTTGATGGTAACTATCTATAATTCCATCATGAACCATTATACTTTTTGATGGTAACCAACATAAGTAGCCACCATCCCAATCTGATTTATAATGGTCCAACATAAGAATAGCAACTGGTTTTGATGGTTTGTTCATGTTGAACCATTACGAATTTCCATCATAGTATCTTAGAAATCAAATGTTACAACGATCATGAGCAACCACCATCCCAATGTACGAATTTGGGCTGATTTATGGCGGCCCAACATAAACCCAAATTGTTTTGATGGTATATTCCTAAGAATCAACAAGAATTCTCATTAAACCATCATGAAAATTGTTGAAGCCATCATGAACCATCATGGATCATCATGGATTGTTGGTCCATGAGAGTCATACTTCTCTTGATGGTTTACCATCAGAGTATTAAAGTAGCATTTTCCATAATAAAGTGATTCAAGTTTCTTGGCTTATCAAAAGCTATGAACCCGTAATGAAAAATGTTGAATGATGGTGACCCTCAAGTCATGTTGGACCATCATGAATTGCACTGAAACCAGCATAAACCATCAAGAATTTGACTTGGAGTGCTTTCAGAAAGTACCGTGGTCCGGCGGTAGTTTAGCTCTTGATTTCTCTGCATTTTAGAATTTCATTGTTCGATTTTTTTTCTTTAAAAAAGTAATTAAATTAGTTCGAAGAGGTCTGTGATGACTCAGGGAATAAAGCGCTCTCCTTCCGTCAGGGTGCATCAGGTTCGAATTTCAGTGATTGCTGGTTGATGCAAATTCTGCTCCCTGTTTGCCCCGTAAACATTGCTGTTGTAAAATAGCCTCAGTGGATTAAAATCTCCAAGTCACCGGGATAATCCTGGCAGATATACGTGGTTTTCCTCTCCATGTAACGTAAATGCGCATAAGTTATATCAAAAAGATCTCCACGAAAGCTAGATTATCCCCATACTTAATCCAAGAGTTTCCTTGTGGTCTGGGCAGGGTTTAAAATTACAAGGCTACGGGAACATTTATAGTCGTAAACCTAAAAATCCATCTACTGTTCAACACAGCTTATAATTATATATAAAATACTATATACGCGTATACTAATATATAAAATAAATTAGTTCGAAAATAAATAATATTTTATTAGAATACTAATCAGAGAGAAGCGCGCATTGACCAATCGATGATCGCAGTTTGTGCTTCCCTACACAGTGAAAAATTCCACGGTAATACGGTAAAGAGTACCGGCTCTCAGGTTGCTGGTACTTAACTAAACTAAATAATTTTACGTAGCCTTTTCCTCACCCCTTAACTAAATAATTTTACATGGCCCTCTTTCTTCACTTAGGCTAAATCAAGTGTCACAGAAACGAAGGATAGTTGGAACCTTTTAATCCTAACAGAAATGCAAGAATGGATATTAGAGAAAAAGTGTTGACTTAAATGAAGGATCCTAAAAAGGAAATTACCTTTATTTTTTTTCTTCTCATTCGATGAACCCTTGAAGCTAACTGAATGGTTCCTAATATTTCCGAATAATGAGTCAACTGCGATGAAATGTGAGCTATCATGGCAACCCGACAAGTTAGAGAGCCCATTGCTTCTTTCAGCAACTGTGTTAGTTTGCTCTCCCTGAAACACAAGAGAATTATTATAGAGCTATACTAATATTATTTAATGTTTGGTAAATTTTTAAAGAAATTCATTTACATTTTATTAATTATTATTATATTGATTTAATTGTTAATAAAAAACGTGAAAAGAAGAAAACAAGAAAAAAAAAACAATGTACGAATTTATTAATTACTATTTTTTGTTTAATCCTTTGACGCAGAATTTTCTTTAAGCATATTTTTCATACTTTTTTTAATTATTTTGTATTTATTCAGGGCTGATAGTGCTCCGGAAAAAAATCTGGATTTCCGGAATTTTCGCTAACAGTGATCCGGAAGTTTCCGGAGATCGAAGGTCCAGACATTTCAAAAAATCATTGATCACAGAAGTTTCCGGAAATCAAATTTTCAAAGGTGAAACTTAAAAACACAGTTTATTTTATTTGTTTGTAAGGGAGAGCCAGAGAGATACTTTATAAGCTTATATTCATGATTAATATTCATTTTTTATCAGTAAATAGTTGTTATAATCATAAACTCAAGAAAGAAAGACATATTTGTAAATTTTAATTACTTCTCCAGGTCATCATAGGTATGTGTAAATGGTATAGGTATGTGTAAAATTTTAAATATATTTTAAGTAAACTAAGAAATATTGAGGAAAAGGAAAAATACCTTGTTTAAATTGTTTTCTAATTTTTCAATTTAAACTTTTTTTTTTTTAACTCAAGAAATTTTCCGGAATTTTGACTTGGACTCACAATCACCTCTGATTAATTCAAGTCAAAATAAGTGAAAAGGATAATATTTAGCAGTTTAATAATTTGTGGTTGTGAAACACCGCTACGTCTTTCTGCATTAAAGGTAACATCTTCCAAACACTTTGAACAATAATTTTTCAAATTTGCATTTATTTGAAGTTACTTAGATCTGAGGGAGCCAGTTATTTATCATTGAAATTTCTTTAATTTATAAAATCATATAATTGAAAATTTTTTGAATATGAATGAAATTTATTTTTTTCAAATTACTTTTTTAAAAATTTATATTTTAGTGCACATTATAATTCCGATAATGTAATCCTTTTAGAAACTATTAGACTATTTTTTTATTATTAAAAAATACTAAAATATATTTTTGTCTGTAATTAGAGGACCAGAAAAGTTTTTTTTTTACAGAAAGGACACCAGTGAGCCATTTGCGTTAAAGGGTTAAAAGATTATATGTATTTTAATGGATGGTAACTATTTATACTCATAACAAGCACGCATAAAAAATTAGCCCAAAATTAATAAATAGGTTTACATTTGAAATCAGTGTTTTAAATGTTCATGTACTGATAATTCGTGAATATATTATACAAAAAACAACAAAGTTAAGTACAATTATTTTGATGCTTTTGGTAAATTATTCTGATGCTTTTAGTGCAATTCTGAGAAAAAAGCCTTATATTGCCTCATGATCAGTAGATTTAAACAATAATAATTGTATTTAACATCAGAGTTAAATACAATTATTTTGATGCTTTTGGTCAAAGAAATAAGAGAACTTTTAGTGTAACACTGAATAAAACGCTTTATTGTATCTGATGATTAATAGGTCTACTGTATATATAATATATATATAAACACAAATAATAATAATAAAATATTATAAAATAGAAAACTATTAATGGGAAAAAACCAGAACCTCAGGGCACGTCTTTTGGTATAATTTAATGCGATATTTCTGAATAAAGAACAATTATCCTAAGATATAAGATAAAAATTATTCTTTTATATATATAAATAACGCAATAAAGAGTTTCATTTAATATTTTTTTGAAATGTTCATTGCATTCTTGGAGGCAAAACTGAATTCTTTTGCATTTTAGAATTTCGGAATAGTGTTCCAAGATGTACGAATAAATAATTTATATTTCATGTATTTATTTTTTAACATAAAATTTAAAATAATTTAAATTTACTATTGGAATATCTGTGAGTGCTGTTTTCTTATTACTCATTAACTGTTCTTAGCAAGCTTTAATAAGAAATTAAAAGAATTATGCTTAATTGCATTTAGCTTATTGCTCTATTATCAGAATTTAAGGCAGTCATAATAGTGGGAACCAAGTTCAAAGAAGATAATTAAAATTAGACAGTTTGAAAAAAATAAACTTTTTTATTTATTTAATAATATACTCTAAAATGACAGATTTCGAATCCAATATAGAAGAGCATGATCAGCATGAAATTTCATTGTTAGTAGTAATCAAAGTACCTAATTTAGAACAATAAAAATAACAATAAAAATAACTTTAAAAATAATTTTTTTTTCAATTCGATATGAAAGATTTTGTTCTGAAGATTGTGAATTCTAATACTATTGAAAACTCTAGTGACTTTTATTTAATTACGCCCATGCCATATTCGGAGACAGCACATGGAATTTTCGAAAATATTTCATCATCGTTACGCTACAACTTAATTAATACTTCACGTTCGAATGAATGACAATGGCAGAAAAAAGAATTAATTTCTAAAATCCAAGAAAGAAAAAAAATTCTTTTTAGAATGACGAAGCTTGAAGACATAGCCCTGTTCTTTCCAGCTGAAAGGGTAAGGGTAATTAGTTTGTTATATGAGACCTTTTCTGGCGACGGTAGATACCGCTTGTAATCAATTTTGGCTGTAAAAACGTTCTTCTTGCAAGACATGAATCATTCACGTTTGAATTGTGATTGCGTTTGGTGTTAGAAGATTATCTTTGGAATTCACAAGAAGCAACGTGCGATACCGCGTTCGGGAAAATAGCTTTCGGCTTCAACTGATCTTGGTAAAGTGAAATAGTTTTGTGATACGAGTTTATTGGCCTTCGTCACCCCCGTAGTAAACTGAAAATACTAGAATTGTTAAAACAGTTCATGCTTCCAAAGGAAACTAAGTGTTTGGGTCTCTTACGTCATTAAAATTCTTATTTAGGTACTTAGAAACGTTTGTTACTAAATTTTGTATGGTTCTTGTGTTACGGGTTCTTAAAAATGTAATTTATTTTAATTCTTGCAGTTTTGAGGGAACTTTAGAATATATTCTTAAATCATTGTTGTGCTTTTTTGATTTCGATAAAGAAAAATTTGTGTGTTCGTAAACTGAGCAATAACACTACGAAATTGAGCTCATGAGAATTAATTTTGGTATTCATGGTGTTACATTTTCTTCACAAATCAACCATTATATTTGCGGTAATTCGAAACAAAGTAAAAATGAATAATTGGCTCACAAATTCTGAAATAAATTTTAGGGAATGGTAGTTCCAATTCTGTCTCGCGTGGAAGCTATTAATGCAGCACCGAGAATACTCATTCCAATTATCTTCCAAGTTTAACTTCAGAATTTGAGAACACAATATTACGGAAATACGTTTGATTTACAACGGAATACATGGGTTTTGCAAAATTTTCTAGGATTAATAAATGATAGTGATAATATATTCATGACATGCAAGTTATACATCGAATAATTGTTCAAACGCAAATGAGGAAAAAAAACATATTAAATGGTGCTTTTGATGTTGAACTCGAGAGCCCTATAACTTCTATTTAGAGAATCAAAATTAGCAACTTCAGCTGATAGGTTTTATTTTAAACTGTTGACACTTGTTTTTTTTTACTTACTTATAAGGCACATGTTTTTGTCCGTTGAAGATGGCTAAAATGACATTCCCTAAGGCTGATAATGACAAGCAACCACCATCACGAGGTTTTGTAGCTATTTTATCACAACTTCCCAAATCAAAGAGATGAAGACGACTTCGGCCACCGGCAACTAAAAGTTTACATTTTTTAACATTACAATGGTGCAACAACTTCGCAAAGAAAAATTTTAATAAGTACCAAATAACTGATTTTAAAACATTTCAACACCATTTGTAAACAGCATTCTACAGGCTAAATATCACCTGCGAAGGAGACAGAGTATTTTCATTTTGCATTGCAGAAACAAGCAAAGATAAGCGTATCTAGTCGCTTTTAAGATTTAAATGGTGTGATAACTTGCTGCAACTTGTTTCAGTAATAATATACTGATAGTAAGATAACTCTAATTTGTTAATAAATAATTATCTGGCCACTCAATCACCTTTGCAATATTTACAATAAATTGTAACATGTACTTGTAATGACATTTACGATTAAAAAGGTGCAATAATTTCCAAACGCAAAATTTTTCATCTATCAAGCCACTTATGTTAAAATGTTTTTACATCAATCCTAAATATCATTCTATTGACCCAACCACAAGGGCGCTAGATAAAGGATTTTAAGATAAACACATGTAGTGGTCTAGGACAAAAACGGTGCAATTATTTCATAAAGCAAAATTTTTACGTTTAAAATGATGTATTTCTTTTGTAACATTTCTCAAAATATAGTAAACATTACAAGGTTCATTTCTAAAATAGAAATTTTTTTGTGAAGCTAGAAATGAAGTATTTTTCAGAATATTTTAAAATATTCATTTTAATTCCGTATTTATTGTGGCCTTTGCAGATAGTTAATTTCGCCCCTTATTTAGAAGATGCAATAACTTACTTGAATGAAATTTTCTTGTATCAAGTTAGTGGTGCTACTATATCTGTTTAATTTTAGTTATTTTTCTGTTTTGGTTTCTCTACATAACTCATAAATATTATTCATTCTATTGTTTCAACCACATATAGTGGATTTTTAAATAATCTCAGGGGCTGTTCAAGATTAAAAGGGTACAATAACTTCCTTAATCAAAATTTTTGCGTCTAACGTTACTGATACTAAAACATTTTTACATTGTTCATAAATATAATTCTAGTGGTTTAATAGTAACTTTTTTCAATGAAAATGTTAATATATTTGATAGAATATAGGACAAAATTAATTAATAAAATTAAAAAACAAAATTAATAAATTGACTTTAATTTTTTCTGATATTTCAGTGCAAAGAATATTGATTAGGAAGAGCAAAGTATTCTTTTTAAAATTAATAAATCTCACCTCCACCTTTCCCGCTCCTTTCTACTCTGTACTGATACAAATGAAGGGTGAAAAGGAAATGGGAGTTCCGACCCTCGTCTTCTGTATCTGAAATTAAAAAATTATATATAAAAAAAATATATAAAAAATTATATGTTGGGTAGTTCATTTATCTAGAAGGTTATAAAAAAAGTTAGAAAAAGAATTTAGCAGAAACAAATCTTACATTAAATTTAGAAACTAACAAAGTTTCATTCAGGTCCTTACTGAACACAGGAAAAATGATTTCAGCGTGAGATTTTGTAATAATAATAAATCAAGATAGAAATAATAGGAAAATGAGAGATATTATGTATAGTAAAAAGTTTCTAGGTGGATTTCTTAATCCAAGAGACACACCTTACTCTACACTCTTTATACTACAGCCTTTTAAAATCCCGTATGCACTCACCCGGAATAACCCTGTAAAATTAGCTATCATTTGTAAGTTTGCTGATAATCCCTTTCTACTAAATATCTCCATAATTTATATATAATTTTTTTTCTAACTTAATAAGCTGCAATTCATTTTCACGTTCATTTTACCAATTAAAGCTACTGAAACAAAATTACCCACATTAAGGACCAATCAAAATTAAGGGAGTCGGTCACGCAATTTACTAACGATAGAAATGGCCAAAAAAGTATCAACCATGCTTGTTAAAGGTTATTTTTTGCTTTAAAGACAACTTTTTTTTTTAAATGTATTCCTTAAAGCTTAAGATTAGATGCTGTGTAAATGTAATGATGCATAATTACTTCTTCAAAATCCATTAAAGAAACCCTTTTTTTCGCCCTCTTTCGTTATTCTTAAGCTGTCCAAAAGTTTAGTGTTTCAAGAAAAACAACAATTCGTTCTTTGTGTGTTTTAACTTTTGATAGAATAAATTTAATTGGAAAGTTCTTTTTTCAAGCCTGCGTCGTACAGAAAACAAAGATTATAATGATTCTAAAAACCTTCAAAACTCTTTTTTCGTTTTGACTTTTGCAAATATGTATCCATTAGTAATTATTGTGTAGAAAGTTTTCCAGATATTTAATCTGTCAGATTTACACTTATGTTAAAATTTGCCTATTATGTTACACGATTTTTTTTTCATTACTCAGATAAAACCAATCATCATGACATTAATGAAAATATTTCCAGCTATTTTCTAAAAAAAGTTGGTTTTGCGTGGAAATAAAGCATAGGCACTGTGAACCATAATATTGTGCAAAATTACAGCAATTTTACTAAAATTTTAAATTGAACATTTCTCTACTCAGGTAAAACCAGAATATCATGCCGCCAACTTAAAAAATAGATAAGTTACGTGATAATGGGATTGAAATTGGCACCGTAATAGAATTGAAGTGTATTTGAACTAATATTGTGTTTGAATGGGCTTAAAAATTACTAAAAGTATGGTTGATGTCGTGTCATGGACAAAAAATAATTTTTAATGTGATCAAAGGTCCTATATACAACATCTGCAATTTGAAGGCAATTTTCTTCTTATAAGTCAGCCCACGGATTGTCACTTATTTGCTGCCAGTATAGCGGGACAGTGGAAAAGATGTATGGGGGTTATTTCTATGTCTGGGCAATTTTTGCACAGGCAGTAAGTCCTTGTCCCGTCACCATGAATCTTCATCCCCCTAAAGTGTCCCGTCCGGAGTCTTGTTTGTGTGCTGGTGAGAGTTCTGTTGGTACTGATTTCAGGGATTTGGTGTTTGATTTGGATTTTCCTATCATTGAATTTTGCCCTAGTCACTGAATTGATATCGCTGAGAGTGACATGAGTAACTTTGCTGGTGTTTAATTGTCTTGCTTTCCTCCTAAAAGTGTAATGTTTGTATTTTAAACGTTAATAAAGTAGCCATTCATTCAGTTTAATTCGATATTTTCTCTATGTTAGAAAGATTTATCATTAATGCTTAAAATCCCACGTTATTGCACAACGATTATGATTCTCTACAGGTTCATATGCAAAACATACGAAAAAGCGGAATGTCAATTGCTAATTTTTTTATTTTTTTATCTTCGTCATCGTTTCGTTTGGATAGAGAATCTTCTCGTGGCAGGATTGATTGAATATGGATTTTGTCAGAAAATTACTATCATTTACACTCCTTGTAGACACATAAAATTATTTAAATAATCCCCATATTAAAAAATATTAAGCATCGTTGCTATTTTGAGTGTCCAACTTAACGTGACATTTTGCTTTGCAGTGCAAAAACTGTAAAACTTTTTTAAGTTTTGAAATTGCATAAGTGTTTTGAAAAATATGTAAGGATTACAATGGAGTGAAAAAAATAAGAATCAATTATTAGCGAACAGCAGAGCGGCAACTACAGAATTGAAATTTGACGAGCTGAAAGGACCATTTTTGTTTATAAACTCTTGAGCTCTTTTTTGGGGGGATTTTAATTTGTTTAAAAAGTATCGCGATTTAAAAAAAAGAAAAAAAAGCGAGGGAGATAGAGATTAGATGTTGCTAGATATAAATCTTAACATTTCATCGAAAAATTTTAAAAACATAAACAACTCAAAAGAAATAAAAACCGTTTCCAATTTTAACTGTTATAACAATTGACTTTAGTCTCGACCGTGTTTCGTGTTTTTAACAGAAGGTGGCAGTATTTGCAGAGGTTGTTTTAACTTCCGGTAGAAGATTCACTTGTATTGATTTCTAATTTTTTTTTCTCATCATGTTTCGACTTATTTTTCAAAATAATTATTTGTTTTCGCTGACGAAAATTCGTTTGAAGATGGCGGCAGTTGTTTCGCTTTTGAGTGCACTATGCGCCGAAACACTAATTTCTTATCTGAAAATAGAATGTTTAAATTCATTAAAGACTCCTAACTCCGAATTCAATGGAGTAATGCATAAAAGAGGAAAGAACAGACGAAAAAAAGAAATAGTCACGTTCTGCTATGGAGTCAAAAAAGAACAACAAAACTTCCTGTATTTTTTATTTTATTTTAAAGACAGGTGAGGAATATAAGGTTATCGTTTTGTATTGTTAACAAGAAAAATTACTTTTCATTTAATATTTCTTATTGTGTCATATGTTCTGCATGACCAATTTTAAATATTTTCTCCTAGTGCAGTTGATATTTTTTCAAATCCAGGTAAGTAATCTCTTGTTTTGTTTATATTAACGTATTACCAGAATTTTCTGATATAAAATTATAATAATGATATATTTTTTAAATAAAATGATTTTTTTATTTTGTTTATTTATTTATAAATTTTTTTTGAAAATATAGACTTTAAGGAAGACAAAAAAGGTGGAAGATTGGGAAGCAAACGAAGGGGTTGATGTGCGAAGCAAATAGGAGGCCAAACCTCCTAGTTTTTTTCTTCGATTTTCTATTTTTTTTAAACATGAAAAATATCTGAGGCTTGATACAAAGTCTTTTAATAATAAATTATCGATATTACATATTACACTTATCTAATACATTTTTATTTTGTTCATAAGTATAAATCCAAGAAATACGCAGAATAAGAAAAATGTTCTATAACTTAATTATATATTGTTTAGATTTCAAAGAATTTTCTTCTTTTGTAAAGTTAAGTTTGCAAGAAATCTTTCAAGATAATAAATGTTACTCCTTTCGAAAATAATACGAAATTTAAATAAATTTGAAGTTATGAGTCATAAGAATGAAAAAAAAATCAACGTATTTTTGAATATTTATATGTCAGAATGCATAAAATGTATGCTTTAATAAATAAACTATCAAAATAATAAATAAAATACAAATATATAACTTCTTGTTGTTAGTTGCTTTGAAGTTTATTCCTAAGAAGATTTATTGTTGTTTTGAATAATTCACTGCATCTGAATTCTATGATGCCTAGTATAAAAATACTTACAAAATTTTATTTGAAATGTTTTCCTTCTGTTTATACTTTTTTTTCTGTCTTAACTCATTGAGCACGATATATTAATATGGAATCTGATAAAGCAGAATAATAGAAACAAAACGTAATCCACGGAACACTGATAATCACAAGGGAATAAAAATCTCAACAAATGATAAAAATAAATGACAAGAGAATTACGTTTAAAATTGTTTGAACTACTAAATTGATAGTACTATATTTTCGCCATCATTTTTCTCCCCGTTGGCATCCATACTATAATCCATGCTAAGTATCAGTTACAACATCTGTAAACAGTAATTTAATTTTTTTTGTTTCGTTTGCAAACGATAATAAAAGAAGACTTTGCGAAAGTAAAACAGAAACAAAAAGAAAGAATGTTTGAAATAAATAAATAAAAAAAAGAGATGAAAAAATCGGAAAGTATATTTCGTTATAATAAGTTTTTCTTTTTTTTTTTTTAAAAAAAAGAAGAAAAAAAAAGGTATTAGCATTTTTCTTCAGTAATTTTTAAGGCAGCGAAGAAATAGCAAACAATAAGAATATAAGGCAACACAAGTCAACAGAAGCTAGAAACTAAGCCTAACCCGAACGGGTTGGTTCTATTTTTTCTAGTCACGTTCAAGGCTGCTTTTAGCTTCCATTACAGCAGCTTAAGAAGATATATGAAGGGACTGTGGGGTGTTGGGGGGATGAACCAGAAGGGGCTTTGTATTGATCCCCCCTCTTCTTTTTTCTCATGAATATTCGCAAAGGATCCAGTAAAAATGGACATTTTTTGAAAGTCCGTTCACGCACTTTTTTAAGCGTCTTCAGAAGGGTGTTGGGCTTAAATGTGTATCAGTGGGCGCATCCCCCTTTTGCCCCTCCTGTTATTTACGTCCGCCCCAGAAGTGGCGAAAGCCCATTCAATAAAGTATTAAGTCCGTCGCGATTTATGATGGGCTTGCCCATAGGCACCTTCTGTCTTGAGAGAATAGGAATGACGTCATTATTGTGAAGACAAAGCATTTCCGGCAGACGGTATATTTTTAAACCCTGTTTTATTTAAATGCTCTTTTTTCATGATTTGTCTTTACCTTTGTTTCTAGAAAATGAAATTTTTTATGCTTAGATTTCCAATAGATGCTAGAAAGATATTTATATATTTGATCTATATGATGAACATCTAACACGAAAAACTAACAATAATTTCAATCCAAATTGAAATAAAATATATGTATACATTTAAAATTGATACAGAAAATATGACGATAATGAAAAACTATGCATTACCAACCAACAAAATTGAAAAGAGTTGCTCAGTGAGTTTTCACCAATAATTGATAAACAAGCAAATTATAAATTTGGGTAAAACAGGAACTTTGAAATGGAGTAAAACTAAAATTTATTCGGTAATTTTATAAACGAAAAGTGACTGTGGAACTGCAGGTGATCGGCTATAACTTTGTCATTTTTTTTCTTCTTTATTTGCAAAACTAGAACAACTAAAAGATGGAGTTTTAATAAAAAAGAATGAAGTATACTAGCATTGAGCTCAAGCTTGGCTCAAATGTACAATTATTACGAACGATAAATCCAGAAACTCACTAATAGACTGTTCGTTGACGGTCATAAAATAAAATAAATGGCATTACTTATAATAGTAACTATTAACGCATATAATGGTTATTACTTCAGTTAAAATAGGAAATTGGAGGAAAATAAACACTTATACACCCAATTCACTCATAAAACCGAATTCCTCTTACTCAAATAGAAACTTAATTAAAGTTCAGAAAGTGACTTCATTTGCACGATTTTATCGTTTCTTTTCTTCATAAAAAGCATATTTAAGGAATGTCATAAATAATATTACCTCTCGACCTGGCTGCCAAGGCTGCATCCAGAAGATACGCAGCTTTTTCAGCTGTCGGTGCTCGAAGTTCACTTTGATTGATCAGTTGAGCACCAAATATAGGATCGTCTCGCAAATAAACTCCAGGTGAAGTACCACTTCCTTCTGTGCCTAGGTGCAGAAAAAAAATCCAGTTAAATAATAAAAAACTTCATTGTTAAAAAAATAATATTTCCTCAGCAAACAGACTTAATGTAGGAATCTAAATTAGCGATGATTATATTTTTATAGTGACGATAGCTCTTTAAGGCAGAGCAGAAAGCTTATATATATTAGGATGAAAAAGAGCAAAAATTGGTATCATTTCATTCTAGTAAAATAGTAAAAGTTTCATGATTACCAAGAATTTTTAGCAGTTATTACATACATATTTGACTGTTTCCCATTCGAGGAATGGTAAAAAGTAATGAATAGTTTATAATTAAGAAAAGTAATAGCTTATTTTATATATACTCCTCTCGAAAACCAGCGATAATTGAAACGGTTTTTACTATTAGTTTATTCGTTTTTCTGTCTTGCTTTCAGGTCTGTTATTGGGAACATCGGCTAGTCTTCACCTCAAACAAGAGTTTTTACCTGGAAACACTATAAAAATTAAGTGTTATGACTCATATTGCGTGTAATAAAGTCAGTTATTAGTGTGATTAAATCTTTCACACGTTAATCTTCTACAAGTAGAGAGGTGCAAATTAGAAGAAAATAATACTAAGTACTGAATTCATTTTCTAATATCATTCAAAATTTGACAATGCATATGTTGTATTTGTTTTACTTATTTTGTGCTAATGAAGCAAGTTTAAAAATTTAAACTTTTCTCTGTATGAGCAAACCGCTTTGATACTGGCCATGTTTTTTTCTTCCTTTTGCCATCGTTATGGGATTTTCGGCCAATGGCCCCGACTTAAGGTTTATTTTGCCCTATTTCCCAGATTTAAGACAAGAGAAGTGGTTGCATCGATTGTTTGTTGCTTCGAACCATGTTTCGGGCATCGAAGTCAGAACGAACAACGGTTAGAAGCGAACAATAGTTAGGAGAAAACAACGGTTTGGAGAAAACAACGGTTTGAACGATTTGGAGCCACAAGCTTAGGCAAGGGAAGCGAAATAGCCAATGCCAGAAAGGCGGGTTTGGTAGTTATAAAAAAGGATACTAACTGTATAGCCTATTTATGATGATAAATAATATTATAATAAAAAAAATAATCGATAGAGGAATAAAATAAAGCACAAATTAGAAAATTATTGACTGGGTAAATTATAGAAAGAAACAATAAAAAATTCTGTTAACTTAATTATTGATAGGAAAAAGCTTTTTATTTTATTCTATAGCTGTAACGTATATTTTTCCAAATATAAAACTGATATACTTCTCTGTAGATAAAGAAATATTAGTTGACGAAGAGCTTCTTCTGCTTGTATGTTGGATAATGTACAAATAAACACATAGATAACGAATTATCTTCTTAATAATTAGCAAACCTTTGGAATTGAGACACAACTACATTTTTGAAGATGATGATTCAGATTTTGTTAGTTAGTCCGAAAACCATTTTTACCGCTTATTGAATGAGGGAAGAAATGAATAAAGGCACAAATGATGATGAAACGAATTATTTTATTATTTGCTGTAGAAAAGTAGATATTACTTTTCGTACAGATTGACGTAGAATATCTTCTCTTAGCATAGATTAGGCTGCTTTATTCTGCATCTTGAGAAGATAAATATACTCTCACTTACGTAACTAACAATAGCAAATATCATTTCCACGACAGCAATTTTTCTGATAAATCATTTTTACCGTCTTATAAATGAAAGAACAAATAATTGAAGGAGCAAATGAAAAATAATTGAAGGAACGAATGAAAAATAATTGAATGAAGAGATTTCAAACAAATGAATGAACGAAGAAGAAAAATTGTTGATTAACCGATACAAGGCAACACGTGATTTATTTAATTATAGTTATGTGATGCAGGTTTGTCCCGTTAAGATACAAAAAGACATAGAATTTTTTCTCTACAGGTACAGATACAAGGCTTAACCAATGAAGTACTTCTTCTGTATCTTGAGAAGATCTATGTTTACACTTACATAACTAACAAATTCTAGCATCCCCCAACAAAATGTTTACCCATTGGAATTCGGACAGATGTAACTTATCGGAGATTTCGATACCTCAATGTGAACAGTTCTTCAGGCGACCATTTTTACAGCTCTCTGGCCAGTGGTCAACGAACCGTTGGTAAGGTTTCTTTTCACGAGTCTTTCATCCCTGAGGCAACAGGAAGAGGTTTCCTACTTCAATCCTCTTGAGGCTTCGATCTTCCAGACCCCGATGCAAGGTCTTCTTTTTTCTTTTTTTCTTCTTGGAGTTAGAGGTGTAGGGGATGCTTGGTGCATTTCTTGCCCTTATGGAAGAGAAGCATAGTAATTGGATGTACAAACTGATGGAGCCCGGTTGCATCATGTTAATGCAGTTTGGTTCCACTGCATATAAGAAGAAAGGAAAAAAACCACCTTTCAATGTCTTTGGGTTTCGATTCCCGATGAGGAAATTCTAGTCTTTTCCCCGTTTTTGGCAGTAGGGAGACTTTATGAAATTAGGGCGTCCTGCTTGTACAATGTAAGACATGCTCAGTATTATATAGAAATCTCAGAAAACATTTTCATTTAAGATCGATTAATTCGATAAATACCACAGAAAAAGTTCTGTTTGAAAGATTATAGAACAATATTTTAATATTTAAACCTGCTCGTTTTTTTTTCCTTCTGCTTTTTGGAAAGTAGCATTATGCAGGAGAAAATTTATTTTAATCATTTTAAACTTGTGTTTCGTTGCAATTACTATTAATTTTTGCAGTAAAACTATTTATGAAAATTAGAGCTTTATTAAAGAAGAATTTATTTTAGTTTTCTATGAGACTTGAATTTAACACATTATCATGGTTATTTTAAACAAAAATATTATTTTTCAAAGGAAAAGAAAAAATACTTTTATAAAAATTTCTTTTTTCGATATTTTATTTCACTCTCGGAACTGTTGGGAAAATATCAATTGACGTTTTGTGACATAAAATGTTTTATTTGCAGTTTTTCTCTAAAATTGCGCGTACATGATTTTCGGAGGAATAGCAGAATTTAAATTTATATAAAAGAATCTATTGAATTGTTATTAAATATAGAGTTTGTTGATTAGAAAATGTTATAGCTGTTACATTTAATTGCTCTATCTTCTAATTCAGCCATTAATTTTTCGACATAAATAGAAAAAATTTGTTGATGCAACGTAGTTTATCATACATAAAAAACGTTTAGTAGATCACATGAAATATACTCTAATCCACGATAACTTTAATAATCAGAAGAAGGATCGTTACAGGACAACAAATTGAAATTTTAAGTCCAAAGTTTTTATTGCACTTTTGGTAAATTATATACCATTGGAAAATTAGTAAATTTTATTTTCTCAATGATGACACAGAAATAAACGTACTAAACTCGTACCATAAAAGCAGTAACGAAAAAAAAATTGAGGACTGATTTATGCCACTCAATCGTGTCCAAGCACACAGCCCCGTTTTCAGAGCTCTGTCTTCTAACAGCTATGGATGAAATGCCACGTTATTTTAACCCTGGTCGGACGACATGAACAATGCCTGAGCTGGTACCCTTCACTCCAAGTTTCCACCCACAAGCAACAAGAGGGCTTTCAGCCACGATAGATCTAACGTGCGCCTTGCTGCTTATACAACCAGGTTGTTTAACCAATTGCCAGGCTCAAACTCATAATCCCCGGCTTTCAACCAATGGAGTGAGTGAAGTCTTTATCTATTGCTCTTGCAGAATTACTGCTTAACACACCATATTCTCCAGACATCTCCCCTTACTGAAAACTTGTAATTTTTAATAATAATTTAAAAAAAAATATTTTTTAGCTTTTTGTGACCGCATGACTGCCTTCAGCCACAAATGACTATTAAGCATTCAGAGGTGGTATTTCGATGATTATCAGAGCAAATGGTTCACATTTGAGATGGTGTAAATTTTAATAAAGTATTTAAAAAAAATTGTATTATCTTGAACAACTTAATCTAAGGCTATAGTAAGTTAATATCAATATCAGTATGAAAGAGAGAGAGAGGTATGTGATGTATGATTTAATTATTATTACTCCTTGACAAAATAAAAAAAAAATTAATTTAGCTTTAAGGAAAAAATTCTTCTTTTATATTATAAATTTTCCATGTGACATTAAAATATTTTAGATATTTTTTTTTAAAATTTGAATATTTATCAGCTTTTTGTCTAAGTTTCATTGCGTAAAGTTTAATATAAAACGATACATCATCGTAGCAAAAAATTAATTAGAATGATGTCAAAATTTAAAATTTTTTTTTATTAATCATGTCTTAAAAAGTCTTTGAAATGAGTAATTACGAAGTTAAGTAAACTTTTCATGCAGAAAATAATTATATTTTTTCTGATGTCAATTTGAAAGTTAAATAATGATAGATTAAAATTAATGAGTGTTAGTTATTTTAATAATATATTTTAAGTCTTCTAAGTTTTTTTTTTTAAAATGGAGCTTAAATTTTTAAAAAAGATTTTTGTCAGTTTTATTCATAAACCGGTCAGGCAGAAAAAAATGAATAATATTACATGAATAATAATTATTAGTAATATTTGCTTGTATAACCAGTTTTAAAAAAGTGATTTTAAATAATATATTGAAAACAAGAAATGGTTTCTAATGAAATTAAAATAATTTCATTTAAAGAATTTCCGTGTTTGTTTTATAAAAAAAAAAGTCTGAAAATAAACGCAGAACTTGCGAATTATGCAAAGGAAAAATTTTGTCTCCCTAATTCTAATGCACTACTTTTTAAATAAAAATTTACGATAAATTCATTTTTCTTTTCACATTGAAATTATCTAGTTAGTTTAATTAAATAAAAATTCCTTATTTGTTGATGAAATTAGCGAAATACTCTAATAAAGTTTCGTTGTTTTGTTTGATTTTTCTCAAAACATTGAAAATAAGCTGCATTCAATTAATTACCCCATTTCTTGTTATTCACTTACAGAACAAAACGATCGATTGTGTTTCTTCTTATAA